GTATATATATATATATATATATATATATATATATATATATATATATATATATATATATATATATATATATATATATATATATATATATATATATATATATATATATATATATATATGGTCAAATAAAAATCCACGAAGCTTTATATAAAGAAACACGGCAATTTTTAAATATAAGTTTTGCAGTTGTAGTTAGTAATAACGGACTGAATGAATATTTAGAATGAAAGCCAGGAGTTGCTACGTCCTGAGAATACAACGCTCAAATATCTGCACAGCGCTTGAAGTATGAACCTTGCTGGGACAAAAAAAATATATAAATACATTCTTTCATTTTTTATTATTTACTCATGTTTTCATTAAATTCATTGTTTATTTATTATATTCACTACTGATTTATTACATAAGGTTATTAAAAGTTCAAATGATGAATTGACTTAAATAATTTTACGTATTATAAATGTTAGCAATATAGAAATAATTTATGTAAATTGTATAAATTATGTAAATTAATGATAATTGACTGCTCCAGACCAGGCCACCCACCCTCCTTCCTACCAACCGTCGGAACGATCACATGATCACTTCAGAAATGGTATCGCACAGATTTTTGCTCAATTCATTGTTTAAATAAAAATTGTATATTTTGATAAGCAAATGTAGACGGATCTGAATCCAGATTCAAATTTGAGATACCGGTAAGATCAGTATCCGTCAAATCCAACTCCGGAGATCCGGCTTTTCTTTGTAGACGAATCTATTATTATCATTAGATTTAAATTTGCAATTAAACCAATTTATAGTTGAATAAGTTCAAATGGTTGATAGTGTTTGTAACTTTTCAAACATTACTAACATTACGACATAACTGCGCCCTTTAACTCAGACTTATGTAATATTAATTTAACTGGTTCTGTCGGTAGGGTGTGGTTACAGTTATTAGCGACATGTTTAATTTTGAAACCACACAATTTGAATTTGATTCCAATTTTTAAGATCTAAATCCAAATGGATTCAATACTAAAATCCGGATTTGGATTCAGATACCGCGGATCTCAAATTTCAGAATCTGTGGCATTCCTATTGTTATAACCGTGCTACCGAACGCACTAGAACATTCTAGAGTATGCTAGAATCGGACCATCTAGAAGAATCTAGAAACGACGCTTGCGAAGAATATATAAGCGCACATCGCAAGAAGATTAGCGATTAGTGAAATTCGTGATTTTGTAAATTCGTGACTCTGTGACTTTGTGAATAGCGATTCGGTGAATTATTTAAAGCGATATTTGATTTGTTTTGTTGACGTTGTCATAGCGATAGATTTTGAACTATTTAAAAGTTAATTGTTGCGTTAATTTGAATTTGCTAGAAATAAACGATTAGTTGATTTCTTCTTTAAATAAAGTTTAATAATTAATAACTGTTTGGAGTATTTTAATCAATCAAAGATTTGAACCCGTCGCATCGTAAATCGGTTACGACAGCGAGTATTACAACACTATATTGTTTTCATGTTGTGTTCTATTGATATGTTTGCAAAAATTTATGAAGGGTTGTTTGTGGCCGTCATAATCGGGTTGTTCCTGGGGCTCCTCATTGGTTTCCTCATGCTGGCAGTCATCGTGGCCTGCAACAGAAGGTTCGTCTCGTGATATCGAGTCTGTTGGCTATTTACGACCCATCAAATGATAAAACAGACTCTTATGTAACATTTTGTATGTTGTTGCATAACAAATATCGACCTTTAGTTGATGCTAGCATTACAAATTAAATGAATCTCACAAAAAAAGAAAGCGGTTGATAATGTTAGGAGATGAAAAAAACACAGTAAATAAAATTTTAGACAAAACATTTTTAAATTTCAAAAATTAAGCTCAGTTTTGCCATTGTCTTTTTTGCTTCTAAGCCATCATTTAGAAAATATGACCAACTTGCACGGTAGAGCTGGGGCCACGTATGCAGCTTATTTTGATGTTGTGTGAATCAACGTCAGTCTCTTAATATAAATAGTTAAATAGTATAACACTACTTCTGCTGAATATGATGAAAGTTATTTATTCGAAAGTTTGTCGCAAATTAATGTTACTCCGTGTGATGATCAAGTGGAATATGAACGCACGTTCAGATGCACTCGAGAAAATACGTACATCACGTTCACTTACGCACTCACACTTTTACAAGCACACAAACGTAGACACACACAAGCACACAGACAGACATACACAAACAGACGTACGTACGGGCTAACCAACGCGTGCAAAGATACACTACAGATCTACAGGCACAAACGCATGCGTATAATAATGTACGCATGCACACACATAAGCACGCATACTCATGGAAACACGCACGCGCACACAAGTACACAGGCCATGTATATTTTCCACTTCAGCAGACACAACATGAAAAGAAGCGAGATGAGTGTTGGTACTGGAAAGATGGATGGAAGGAGCAAGGACGATGAAGGAATGAAGTATGAAGTTAGAGTGTTAAGATGTGACCAGGCACTCGTCAACGATCCTGACTACAACTGCAACCTCGGCAACATCATCAATAACAACAACGGAGACAACAGTAAAAACGTCAGTAGCAACAACGACAAAAAAAATCAGTTCATCGGTTGCAAGTACGACACGATAACCGCGCAGCCACAACTCCTCGACATCACCAACTTCGATTTAAACCAACAACTTTTGCAACCAAATGTTGTTCTATATGATGCACAATACACTTCACAACATCAACAACAAAACACAAAACAACCGTTTCATCAAGGCTATCAACAACTGCAACAACAACAACTGCAACAGCAACAATTGCAGCAACAACAACTGCAACAACATTTACCAAAGGATGATGACACGAACCAATTCATCAACTTTACAACGCTGACAAGGAAACAAATGAAAAATTCCTTCGAAATGCTCAACAATTTTTCAAACATTCACCAGAGCAGTGAAAGTTTCCAGCACGCCCCACGCCGATCACCACACAACATCAGCAACGGCAGCCGCCACAACAACAACAGACGCAATCTTATGGACTGTACGAAAAACCTCCATGCTATAACGTCTGCTGCGGTTGAAAGCGACAAACTTTTTGATTTAATATTCAATAACTTTTGTTTGTTGAATTCGTTTCATTACATACCTGTATAAGTCGGACCAATGTGAATGTAATATTATATATATATTATATATATATATATATGCGTGTGTGTGTGTGTGTTGTGTTGTGTGTGTGTGTGGTGTGTGTGTATTGTAAGTACAAATACAAATAAATATATAAAACGTATTAACCCAACCTTGACGACTTTAAAACAGTAACACATGTATGTATATATATTGTATGACACATTTATTGTGAATTGAAATGTGTATTATTAATTTGAAATAAATTTTTTTTTAACATTTAACAATTTGTTGTGCAAGGTCGTGGAATGGGCTACACCTAGCCGGTCAGTGCGGTACAGTTGAAGTCCACTTGTATACATACATCATACATACATACATATATATATATATGTATATATATATATATATATATATATATATAAACTAAACGGGTTGCTTATAAAGTGCTTATTAAAATTATCTCACAAGCGTTGTAAAATAACATTTTCTGTTGAGACCATCATTCATTTTTCCGTAGGGGTCCCGCCTACAAACGAATGTGTGCAAGAACAAATTCAGGGAATGATCAAACCAGCCTGCCAAAGGAAGTGGAACACATTTATTGAAAGTTAACAGCAACTAGTTCTGCTGCTCAGTTCAGGCGCAGGTAATCTGTCACGTTGTTCTTTAGATAAGTGAAACCACATTAGGTTGTTAGTCGGAAAGAGGACATTTGTCATGAAGTTACGGACACTTGTCATTGAGTTACATAGCGAAAAAAATTTGAACAAGTTTTCAATAATCTCGTAAATAAATAAAAACTGTTAACTAACACGGAATGAAAGAAGCTCTTGATGATACGAATGCAGAGGCAGTTGGAAGTATAAGTTGGAAGGGAATGGAAACAAAAATAAAATGGAGCATCGCCCTGTATGACTTTCGCTGTATTGTAATCACTTCAAACATTATTCACTTTTTTATTGGAATGCAGTGAATATGAAATGGCAGCCTGATTAAACTTGATTCTACAGGAATAGGCCCCATTTTGTGTTGGCTCTAATTTCATTTGATTTTCGATTGATGGATGATGAACGCATTAATTTTAATAGATGGGTCCTATTTAAATATTTTTGAGCCTTTCCAGTAAATGACAATATATTTAATTATTTATTTATTTAAACAAATTAAAAATAAACAAATAAATTTCGACTCAAACAATTTTTCATCAAACTAACCAAAAAACAAGTTAAAAACATGGGTGGCGAGATGGCATAAAAGAAGAATACGGCCGGGTTTGAATGCCAAGAGATTTCCACCTGTCATACGTAATGTTATTTGCGTTGATTCGGGCATTTTCACAAACGCTGTACTTGAGTGTCGTTGGTACTTCTGAGTAAATAACCATCTCCATTATACCATTTAATGGATATATAAACTGACCAGGTTTGTCAAAGATCATTTAAGCAGCACCGGATATCATTAGGAAGCATAGTAATTAATTACATTACCATGATCCGTTTGCGTTTTTCAACATGCTCCGTGCAATGAAGCATGCTGATAGGTTATTTTTCGTTATCTAATTTATATAATATCCTTAACGTTTAATATTTTGAAGCATATGTTGATAGAATTTTATTATTTGTAAAAATAAAAGTTTCCACGTGTTAACTCTTCTGCTTATTTTTGCAATTTATATAATTACATTAATTTTTGGTTGATTTAAAAGAATTTAATTTTTTTTTAACACAGTTCAAACACTTCATAAACAGCTTATGAGTTTAATTCTGTTATTATTGTTATTATTATTATTGATATCACTATTATTATTAACTGCTTAGAATTCAATGACCTTGGTTTCATTTTCATTGAATTATCGACCTTATATCTCAATCACCACCTAAAATTTATTTTTTAAATAGTTTTTTACAAATCAATCAATGGGTCCTTTTTAACCTAGAGTCTGTTGAGGCCTTTATCGTAATGCTTCTTTATCTTTAGCCAACTTCATTGTATACCACATTACCATTTCAGTTTAGTTTTTAATGTCCTCCATCCATTTCTTGGCAGTTTTTTCTTCATCAGTAATTTTTCCATTTTGTTTTCCAAGCTGTTTTTTCATTCGCTTTCACTTTCTGTTTCCAACTAATTTCCAAAAATATTCTGTAGCTTTCACTTTCAAATCCTTCTAACCTGTTTTTTTTTTGTCTTTTTATTTTCCAGGCTTTGCATGCATACGGAAGTGTAGAAAACACAGAGATTTCTATTATTCTTTATTTTTTTATAGGAATATCACAATTTGTCAATTTTCTTTCACATTCCTTTTGCAATAATTAATTTTCTGACAATGTCTTTTAAACAATTTTTGTTGCTGGGAAAGCATACAAAATGGTCGACTTGATCTGATTTCCTCAATTCTATTTTACATCAAAAGTACTTTCCTTTTGGAAATCCTCACTTTTGTTTTATTTCGCTGACATACACTCCATAATTTTCACAGCTCTCATGTGTCAGTTCAATCGGTTTTTATAATATAAGCCATCTGACCTGGATGCTAGTGGATCAATATAATAAGCAAACAATATCTTTTATAATTCTGTTTAGTATCAATTTCCAAAAAATTTATTTGTGAATATTTTTATAATGATTTTATATCTGTTTTTTATGTTTAACATTTCAATGAATTAGACTAAAAAATCTTGTTAATTCCTGTAAATAATTTAAAGTTTGGAATTTATTTTATTTCATATGGTCAGTCCGTAATAAAATATTTTCTGACCAACATGCATTGTATTTACTTATTTATAAGTTTGTTCCATTAACTTAATTATTTTATTAGAATACAATTGGCCAAAAGTAGTCAATTTGCCTCTCATATAACTTTGTTGCCGAAACACCTTGGAACTGTAAGCATGAGTTATTACCTTCACTGTCACATTGCTGGCTGGCTGGCTGACTAACCGACCGTTGATTGATTGATTGGTTGATTGATTGGTTGATTGATTGGTTGATTGATTGATTGATTGATTGATTGATTGATTGATTGATTGATTGGTTGATTGGTTGGTTGATTGATTGATTGATTGATTGATTGGCTCGCTGGCTGGCTGGTTGGCTGACTGACCAACCGACCGACCGACAGATTGAAAAATAAGTCTATGAAAAAATTTTTCAAAAATTTACTGTGTGTTTGGCCGTTACATTTTTTTAAGTAAATGAAGTTTGTTGTTTCGCTCATTAGAATGCTTAATAAAATTATTACAAATTATGTTTTATATTCTTTTTCGTGCCTTATCCTTTCATGACATTGGAGATCATCGACCTCCACAAATTCCAATCTTTAACAATTTGTAGCAGTTGTTGAAATGTGGTGATATAAGTGACACAAGGACTTCTTGAATGTTATTCGTTGTTGACCGCGATCTCTTTTCTATGCAATCTTTCCAGTAGTTGTTAGATTTTCCAATCTTTCCTTCCGCATGATGTGACCAAAAAACTGCCCCCGTCGGATTATCTATAGTAATTTCCTCTTTTCATAACCGGACTGTTTTGATACATCCCCATTTGAAGTATAAGAGGTCCAACTAATTTTTATAACCTTTTTCAAAAACTACATCTCAGCGCGTTAATCTTTTGTTCCATTTTTTTAGAAATTGTCCAGGACTCAAAACCGTAAGTTAGCACCGGAAAATGCTACATCCTAACAGTTATAATTTTGTTGATATTCTGATTTTACTGTTGGTGAGGATGTTTTTCATTTTAGAATATGCCTCTTTTGCCATAGCTATCCTTTTTTGATATCCCTATCACATCTACAACCTGAGCTAATCAAACTTCCGAGATAATTAAAGCAGTTGACTTGTTTCACTTGTTTACCATTAATGAATAAGAAGCAAATCCGGGCGGTTTTGCTTCTACTGATAACCATGCACTCTGTTTTGTTTATGTTAATTTGCAAGCCTTTTCTTTCACTTTCAAAAACCAGTTTAGAAACAATTGTTTGCAATTTTTCCATTGAATCTGCTATAAGAGCATACATTAACTATTACATTAATTTCTAATGACCACGGGTCTGCGTATGTGTGTGTTATGTGTCGACCACGTATTTGCGCATATATATTTTATATGAAATTTGTTCATATCTTCATTGCTTTTCTTAGTGAACGCGAGCGAACCTGTGTTGAATTGCATGGATAACTGACGTTTTTATCAATTATTTTAATTAAAATTTTTGCATGTATATGTCGTTTTTCCCAATTTTACCCATTCACCGTTCCCACATGTTGAAGAATTTAAAAAATAATATCAGAAAGCTCCAAAATATTATTATCACAAGACGAAATATTTTGCTTGGCTGCATCAGAGGAAATAAATGCAGTCAGCTGTTTCCATTCTCTTTCAAAGTTTAAAATTCTTAGTTGATCGTATAAGCAATCAATTTGTTTCACATCAATACGTCCATCTTGTGGACGAGACACAACTTCTTGGTGTTTCGCTTCTAGATGTTCTACCCAATCTCGAAATTTTAGAGGAGGCCTTTGTTATTTTCTTGCTATTAAATCTGTTAAATTTTGGAATATTCTGTCATGAAATAAATTTTATGTTTTCGCTCTCGATCTGAGGATCATTTATTGCATGTAGTGGAATATCATTGAGCATTAACACAGCAATCATTTGAAAAAAGTTGCCCAACCAAATTATTTTAACGTTACAATTATCATTTGAAATTTAAATTATGCCTGCAAGACGATTGTTGTTTTATTAATTAAATGGCGTTGTTTTACTTCTGTATTTGTTCGTAGGGGACTAAATATTTCATCGTTATTATTAACAATTAATAATCTTTATATCTATGTTTGAATTTAATTACTACTTTATCTTTGCTTTACTTTTCCCTTCCCTTTTTCCGTTTCATGATCGCCGTAAGTTTTGTTTGATATAACAAAATTGTTTTAAAATTTAAAGTCTTAAATTATTCAATTTATAATTCGACAACAAAGGCGAGACAATAATAAATCGAACATTCTTCACCAACTGGTGACTCCGAACAAACAGGCAAAATGTAATTCAGAGTTTAGTTTTTTAGTTTTTTCTTGTGACAACATGGCGTCACATCACTGCTGCATTAAGGATGTTGTATTGTTTTTTCTTCCAGTACTTGGGATGTCAATTCTGTTACCACATTTGCCGGCAGGGAGAACGAAACGTGGTAGAAACTGATTTCCGGGGAAACAATTTTTTGCAAATTAAATTGTACTTCAGCTATCATGAACCATCTATCTGATGATGTTTCCATAAAAGCTAATAGTTTGAGTTTGGTTCCTACATTTTGTTTATCATTGATTTCGGTTTTTTTAACCACATGGTTCTTGGATCTTTTCACGTTGGTTTTTTATTTTTTTCACGGCGGATTTTTGTTGTTCAAATCACGTCAGAGTCATCAATTGTTGAGGAATATTCTATTTATTAATATTTTGCCTTTGTTGTCGAATTATAAATTGGACAAATTGGAAAAGTAAAGCAAAGAAAAAGTTATTATTAACAATTAAATCTTTATATCTGTTTGAATGTAATTAGAACTTTTTCTTTGCTTCACTTTTCCCTTTTTCCATTCATTATAGTTACTTTTTATTTTATTTAATTTAATAAAGTTGTTTTATCGTCTTTTATTGTCCAATTTATAATTCGATAACAAAGGTGAAACATTAATACATCGAACATTTCTTACTGCTTTATTATGGTTCTTTGTTATTTTGCAACTTGTGATTTGTTTTTCAATGTATTTCGTGAAAAATTCGTGGTTTTAATGTAAGCACATGGTTTTATTCAATTTTAAAACTCAAACACGTGGTCATATTCAACTTTATTTTAACTTAAATGTGTGATTGTATTGTGTGGTTGTATCACAATCAACCAATTCTGAATGGAGGTGAACAGAAATTGAAATTTGTTCCCAATTTCATCCCAATTTTGTCATTACCCATTCCCTCCAGATTTTGCTTCTATGTCAACGTTTACTAAAATTCCCATTTTCTATTTTTTACATTATTCCCACGTTTTCCCTCCTGGTCCTACTCTCTTCCATTTAATACAAATTTGAAACGAAAGAGAATATTTTAAAAAAGCAAAAATTATGAACCTGTCTTAAGAATCAAACAAACAAATTACAAAAGCTTTTAAACGGATTCCTGTTTTATAATGTTTATGAATATACATACAATACAAATTTATAATGACCACAAGTGTGTGTATGTGTCGACCACATGTTTGCGTAAATATATTTTATATGAAATTTCTTCATAGCTCCATTACTTAATGGGGTAATCATTTTTCTTTACGCATGCAGACACGTGTTAATTCGGATAGATAAATTACTGTTTAATCAAATTTTTCAATTTAAATTTTGCATGATTATGTCTTTTTCCCATTTTTGCCCATTTCCAATTTATAACCAGTGATTCCCTATCCCCTAAAATTCACGTTCCAGGAAATTAAGTTTTACCAATTCCGTTCCTATGCTTACTTCTAATTTGGACAATTAAGCTTTTATTGTTGAAAACTGTTTCTTTCAGTGTAAAACATAAAATTTGAACTTAGATATCAAAATAATTAATGTGACTTTCTCTATTTTAATGGCTTCAAAAACAGTGCTATTTCGAATTTGTTGTTGTGGATTGATGCAAGCAGGACAAACAAAATTGGACACTTTAGATAAAGTACCAATTATTTTTGAACAACGTTTGTGACACCACTGGTTACACTGCTGACACTTGATTGAATTGTTACCTACACCAGCTTTACAAACTGAACAGGGCCATCGTCCAGTAGCTGTGGATTGGATGGGTTCACCAGTGTTCATTGCTTTGGTTTTGCTGATGTTGACTTTGAATCCATGATCGGCGAGTCTGGTGTTCCAATGTTCAAACATCTGTGCTGCATTCTGCTCAGACGTGGCTGTTAAAACGATATCATCAGCATATACTAGATTCCAAATGTCACCAGTGCGTATCGGTTTTGTGATTTCTTCCATCACAGTTATAAATAAAAGTGGGCTGAGAATCGAGCCTTGGTGAACTCCAACGCCGATGTCAAATGCATCTGTGTTTCCAACCGTTGTGCTGACAAGAGTCTTAGTATTCGTATACATTTCCATCACAAGTCAAACAAGATATTCTGGAATGAGTTGTCGACGTAGACTCCACCTGATTGCTTCACAGGGAACTCGATCAAATGCCTTTTCAAGGTCTACAAAAATATTTGATAGTTGTTGATGCTTTGCGAGGTACTTCTCTTGCAGTTGCCGAAGGATGTGAATTGTATCAATTGTGATTTCCCCGCTAGAAAACCAAATAGATAATTTACGATTATGATGCACGACGTTAATCTTCTCTCAATGATTTTTTCGACAATTTTCAGGGAGTGTTCTAACAGACGTATACCCCGATATGATGAACAGTTCAATGGATCACCTTTGCCTTTGTATAGCGGGACTGTCATGCTATAGTTCCATTCAGTCGGCATGGAGCAATTTCTCCAGATTTCACGGCAAAGTTGTAGTAACGTTTGGATACCTGCAGTACCAGATGCTTTGATAATGTCATTTGTGAGTCCAGAGGGCCCTGCTGCCTTTCCATCCTTCATAGCTTTTAGAGCTTCTGTAAGCTCCTCTATAGTGATGTCTGGAATCGGACCTTCGATGGGTGGAGCGTCAAAGTTAACATTGATGGGATTTGTTTCGTTTAACAGACGGTTGAAGTATTCTCTCCACTGTAGCTTGATCTCATGTTGTTCAAGAACCATCTCATTTTTGTCGTTTTTGATACATGAGGCACCAACTATGTCTTTTTTCGTACGCTTTGCTTGTTTTGCTATACGATACAGAGATTTCATTTGTTCACCTTTGCTTTTAGTGAGCCACTCTCTGCACTGATCTGTCCGAGCCAGTGAAACTTGACGTCTTGCATAGTTGTTCTTCTCACGGAAAATTTTATGGTCATCAACAGACTTTGATTTTTGCCATTGCTTGTATGCAGCTTTCTTTTCAGCTATTGCATTTTGTACATTGTCATTCCACCACCAAGTGTCACGTTCATGCGGACGTTTTGTACCAGTTTTCCCACAAACTGTAGTTGCAGCGTTCATTAAAACGGTTTTGTATGTACTCCAATTTGTACTGGCTTGCGATTGGTGGTCTAACTGTGTGGCGACAATCTGTTGAAATTTTTCTCGATGAATATTGCTTTTCAGCTTCCACGTTTTGATTCTCTGAGGCATTTGTTTAGACTTATGTTTTGACAGTTCGACAACCAGGTCTGCCACAAGGAGTCTATGTTGGGTGACACGTGATTCGCCAGGTATAACTTTGACGTTTTTGAATAGCCTTCGATGTTGTTGCTTGACAGCGAAGAAATCAATTTGCGTGGCTGATGGTCCACTTTTGTATGTTATGAGATGTTCTGATCTCTTTCTAAAATATGTGTTCAGTAAACAAAACCCGTGACTTTCAGCAAACTCAAGGATGCGGTTACCATCTTCATTCCGTTCTCCATAGCCAAAACCGCCATGTACGTTGTCAAAACCATCTGTTTTCTCTCCAATGTGGCCATTGAGATCGCCTCCAATCAGGATTGTTTCAGATTTTGGTATTGTTGAGATGGTGTCAGAGAATGCAGTCCAGAAGTCATTTTTCATCTCTTCTGATTCGTCTGTCTGTGGTGCGTATGCAGAAAAAATAATCAATGTTTGCTTTTCTACGCGAAGCTTGATCCACATGAGACGTGAACTAATCCTTTTAATATCCAGTACTTCTTGGGCTAGCGGTTCTCTGACAAAAATTCCAACACCATTTTTGGCCGTCTTTTGACCATTCCAGAATAGTTTATATTTTTCTTTGTCTGAGTTGACATGACAGACACCATTCGATTTCCATCAATCCTACGCTCGAGCATTTCTGCGATTTCCATGCTGCGGCCAGTCAGTGATCCAACATTGAGCGTTCCAAGTCTAAGTACCATATAGGGGCCATTCTGAATTTTTCTGCAACATCCCTCCGCTATTGCATACTTCCCAGGGATTCTTGGCACCCCTTGACCACTTAAGGCCTGCTGGGGACTAGGGGCCGTTGTTTTTCTTTGTGATGGCATAAGAATAATTTGGGGAAAAGTTTTTACATCCGGACACCCATCCTGACGACAACCACCAGTTATAAGCGGTGGGCCTAGCCTTTCGCTCAAAAGCACGCAAGGCAGCGTGGATGCAGTTTTATGTCATACCCAGGACCAAGTTGAATAAATTAAAGTATAATAGATATGTCTATGGAGGTTGTAAAATCGGTAAATGAACATATAAATATATATTGGGGAAGAGTGGAATTTGCTTAAAAGATATCCAAGTATATTGATAATAATTTGAATGGATATAGAATATCGGTTCATTGTACCATATACTGTATTGCACTGTAGCCACATAATCTGAAATCTTATTTATTGCAGTTGTGAAAGAGTTGAAAATGATGAAGGATGTAGATGACGTAGAAAGTAATGATGGCTCAACAGGAGAGCGAATTGTATTAATTTCTAAATCAGGGGGTCGTCATCAAATAGACAAAAACATCCTTCATTGGTTCAGTGATTATTTCAAAGGTTTGGTGAACAGTGGAATGAGAGATGCCCATTGTAGAGAGCTTACGTTGGATTGTTTAACGAATGAATCCTTAATAGAAGTGAAGGATTATTTATCAGAGTATTCAACCGAAGTGATGGAAAGCGGAGGTACTTGCCTGAAGTCATTGAATGAAGTAGAAGCAGGGTTGGAAGGTGCCTTCTATCTACTAATCAATAATATGATTGACAGCTACATTGAATTGTTGTTAAAACATTTGAATGAGTCAACATGCATTCGTATCTTGGACATTGCAAACAAGTACGTTCTAATTAACCAGTTGGAAGAAAAAGTTATTAAATGCATGTCAAAAAATTTTAAAAATATCTCAGAAAGCTCCAAAACATTATTATCACCAGACGAAATGTTTTGCTTGGTTGCATCGGAGGAAATAAATGCAAATAGCGAGATGGATATTTTCAATATGATAATCAAGTGGATTTTGAAGAATCAGTCAAGGAAATGTTTTGCAGAAAAATTGTTGGCCGAAGTAAGGTACAGTCTGATGACAACCACTGAGAAACAAAAATGTTCCGCCGTACTTTGTGATCTGAATTTACATATTAACCATAGTAAAGATAAAGATTCAAATATTTCTCGTACAGTTGGCATGCTCTTTGCGACTGGATCACCTAAAAACGTGGTGTGAATTTAATTCAATTTTTTATCCGAATTACGTTGTTACTTTCACATTTTTCATCCGTTTTTTTTTTAATTTTTTTTTATTTTAGAATCTGATTGGAGACGTTGTCCATTTTATTCCAGTTTATGATTTTGTTGAAGCTTGCAAGACCAGTAGTAACTGCAATGTTGAGCCAATACCCATCAAATTCAAACCACCAAGAAGAGTGGGACAACCATTGAAAAGGCTTTATTATAAAGCCAGTATGGTTGACAACTGTTTGTATCTAATCGAAGAGGGAAGGGGTTTAACGATGACTTCTAAAGTTTCCGCATACAATCTGGTTACTGATGTCTGGTTTAAGGTTTACAATTTTTAAATTATATTTTTATGAACAAATTCCTTTTAATAATAGTTGACAGTTATTGTAACGCGTTTTGCGTGGAGTTATTTATTTTCATCATTTAGAGTCTGAGCTCGTACAATGATCGATAATTGTTTATTTCTTTGTTATTTATCGTTATATTCTATTTCAAAACTTTATTTAATGTATTTTACAGCCAACTTTATATGAAGGGGTGTGCATCAGTGTTCCTTGTTTTAATTATATATATATATATATGTTGGTAATAGACCATAATTTTTACAATATTCTATAAATTCTACCGAAGTTTGGCATTAATATGTTTGTAGTTCGATTTTTCTCACTAAAGTTTTTTAGTGAACGTTTAGTTTATTAAAATTTAAAATAAACTTGTTTCAATATATATTCACAAAACAAAGTGAATATTTCTCTATACAAACTAAATCGCACTAATGGTGATTCATTCGGAATCGAAATATGGCCTTATTTGCAGCATGAATTCGGAAAATAAGTTTATTTTGAATTTTAATAAACTAAACGTTCACCGAAAAACTTTCGTGAGAAAAATCAAAAAAAACGAACTACAAACATATTAACGCCAAACATTCGGTAGAATTTATAGAATATTGTAAAAATACATATATATAATTAGGGTTCAGATTGTATATACAGTTATTTTGAAATATCACCGCATTTTCAGCATTGTTGAGTTTGTATGTATGTATAATATACATTGTATATTATGTATGTATAATATACATTGTATATATATATATATATATATATATATATAATCCAATTAACGCCTTTTACATTAATATTAATTATTTCATGAAGTTAACAAATTATTCAGTTTGTACTAATTATCATCTCATAAATATTCAGTGTTGCAGCATGCATCTTGAAAGGTGTAATTTCTACCTGGGAGGACTAGATGGTCATCTATATGTAGTTTCTGGTTACACCCCCGGCGTCTACGAAACTCCAACAGTTGAAAAATACATACCGAGTGAAAACCGATGGTACATGGTGGAACCTTTATTTCTTGCTCTACCAAGTCTGGCAGGTCTGATTAATTCATCTTAATATCTGTCTAGTATCTTATTCTGGTGGCATTTATTTCAATTTCAACTGTAAACTTATTGCTCTAATTTAAATTAATTTTTCAAATCTTATGATAAGAACATGGTATCGTGTTCACAGACTTTGTGAAATTTGGGTCGAGTTTTTATTACTATTATTTACTGTTATTATTTACTTACATATCCATCCCCAAACAGGTTGTGTGTGCAATGGCATGATATATGTTAGTGGTGGACGTGATAAAGGAGCCAATGTACGGAATGTGGTGTACCGGTATGACCCTTCCTACAACAAATGGTTCTCGAGGGCTCCCATGTTGACGGCACGTTGTGCCCACCTAATGACAAGCACGGAGAATAAAATTTTTGCTTTTGGAGGTTCAAAAGAGCCAAGTGTGGATTTTATTCTAAGTGATGTAATGGTTAGTATGCTTCATTTTGTCGTTGTCACTCCGTTCATATATTTTATTATTCATTAGTAAGTAATTATGTACATTATTTGATGTCTTCAATTTTATGTGCAAAATAATTTAAAATGTGAAATTTTATACTAAGCAATTTGAACGTTAATTTTGATTTTGAAAAATAATTCAATCAACAAAGGATGGAGAGATGTATGATGTAGAGAGTGACCAGTGGTCATCTGTGTTGAAGCTGAAGATGCCTGTTTCGTATTTACCATCCATCACCATAAACAACTGCTTCTACATTTTTTATGAATGTATGGCCAGATGGGACTATCCATTTATTCAAAAAATTAATCTGGCCAAGTACTTGAAGAATAAGAAAACGTCATATGATTCAAGTTTATCATCAGTGCAATGCGGGAATGCTAATAATAAAAATCTCGTGACGAATGAAGCAAAGGAACAGAATGATGCTGAGTCTGATGATGACTGCCAAATTTTGAACTATTTTCTACCTAACTATGGCAATAGAACGTTGGAATGTCAATATGTTGGTGTCATGTCTGTATCGGACGTTTGAATGAATGAGTTTTTATTCATTTGCTCTTTTCATTTCTTTGTAAAATAATATTCTAACTGTCGTCTTTGTTTTTAGTCTTACGTGATTTATATTAAAATTTGTGCATTTGCAAGCATACGAAAGAAGAATGAGGATTACTGATATTTGTTGATATGTAGGTTTAGGTATTGTCGATCTGACAAATATTTATTGTACCAAATTGAATTTCAATGAACATACACACAGTACTCTACCGTAAGCGTAAATCATTTTAAAAATAAGTGCCAATTATTGTTCTTCCTGACAATATTATCATTCGAAACTTGAATTATGCCTGAGATACGATTGTTGTTCAATTCAATATTGATGTTTTATCTTTTTTCAGCATTACATTGCAAATTATTTTTCTTTCACATCAAAATCAAATTAAAGATTTTTTATATAAGTTGTTCAACTAATGGAATGATATTACTAAATGGTTCGGTGTAATGATTATATTTAATTCGAGATGGAATAAATGACTAACAGCTCGACGGTAGCAACAAGAAAACCATGTTGGAATGCGTAAATAGCTTCTACATTGTTAAGGATGCTGGAACCAAAATTAATCCTCGTTGTCCTCCCGTAATGGGTCGGAATTTTTTTATTCCATTCATCAGTTTCAGTCTCCGAGCCGATCTATTTATTGTGTCTGTCTCCTAGAGACTAAGTGCCTTCAAGTCCTCCTGTACGGTCTGCGTACAGGACTTTTTTGAGCGACCTCTTGTGCGGGTTCAAGGCACCTGGCGCTGAGTAACGGAAATTATTGTATCGTTTTCGTTTCACATGCCAAACCATCGTAGGCGATGACAACGACATGCATCCTTCAACATGCACAGTCCCGATCGGTTCAGGATCTCGGTTGTATGGGTATGGACCCTTAGGTCAACATGCTGCATACAACGAATCATCTTCATGTCAGTTCGGTGAAGCTGCTGTTCGAGTTTTGTTATCATCGGCCACGTCTCTGCACCATACATCAGAACAGAACGTATAGCTGTGTAGTATAGCTATGAGCGCAGCGGTAGAGAAATGCTACGCCGCATCAGTACCGAGGTAAGAAGGTGCCATCTGCCCCACGCCGCGCGTATGCGTCCACGAACGGCGGCATCAGTAAACAAAATAAGAAAGAAGAATGAGGATTACTGATATTTGCAGATATGTAGGTTTAGGTATTGTCGATCTGACAAATAATTATTCTAACAAATTGAATTTCAATGAACATACACACAGTAGGTACTACCGTAAGCGTAAATCATTTAAAAAAAATTGCCAAATTGTTTTTCCTGAAAATATTATCATTCGAAACTTGAATTATGCCTGAGATACGATTGTTGTTCAATTCAATATTGATGTTTTACCTTTTTTAAGCATTACATTGCAAATTATTTTTCTTTCACATCAAAATCAAATCATTGGGTCTTGTGACCGAGTGGCTAGCGTGTCCGTCTACCACTTCCACGACCCGGGTTCGAATCCTGCAGTTTCTACAGGTTCATCCGGGTAGCTGACCCCGCCGTCCTTGCTTTCGAGGCTGGTAAATGGGTAAACGACGTAAGTTGGCCGGCTCAGTGGTTCAAATGCTCGCTGAGTCAAACATCTCAATGACTATCATATACTCAGCGTATATGATGCGGTGCTTGCGCGTACGCATAAATACATGTGTACGTCGTGTGAAAAGGATAAACAGCCTTTGTGGCGAAGATGGCTGCTTCAAATCAATGGATGAAGATACGAAGAACATGATAAAAGATATATAGATAATATATCTGTAACAATGTAAGTGGTTCTGCAATAATAAAGCTGCAATAGAGCTGCAATAATAAAGACTGAAAAAATAAAGGTATTTTATATAAGTTGTTCAACTAATGGAATGATATTACTAAATGGTTTGGTGTAATGATTATATTTAATTCAAGATGGAATAAATGACTAATAGCTCGGTGGTAGCGACAACAAAACCACGTTGAAATGCGTAAATAACTTCTACATCGTTAGAGATGCTGAAACCAAATAAGTATCTAAATCTAAACAAGAAACCAAAAAATAAAAGCTCATACCTCACACGAACTGCCTGCTTGAAGGAAGAATTTGAAAATTGAATTCACGTAATTTATTCTATTTCAGTTTCATAATATTATTATGACGCCATGAATTGAATTTACTTATTAATAAATAAAACTGCATGTTGACACGTACCGATGAACCTAATGTCAACATGAAGTGTATCACGTTCCGTATGTAATGTATCGTAAATGCATGATGCCATTGACGAAGGATGGATCGTTGGCACAGCTTACTACTTACTATCATCAGTAATGAATCTAGGCACAGTAAACTTCATGTTGACATTAGTATTACACTGTTTTGTGTTAGTATTCACTGTATTCATCTCCCGGTTCGACAGCCCGATCGGACACGAGGTGTAACAGCAAAAATTTTGCTTGTCTCCTCAAATTCCGTTCTAAATTTTGCTGCTCGGTTTAGTTAGATTGTTTCAAATTAATTTGTGTGTTAAGTAATGGTTGAAATCTGTTGAACTAACAGATTAAATTGTAATTAAAGTTTAGATAGTATTTGTTAATAATTTCCAAAATAATCATGAGTTGAATTATGAATAAAAACGTTACGTTTTAACGTTTATTTAAAAGATTTAATAAATGATGTCCTATCACTCATGAAATTGTAAATAAACGGTTCCACTTAATATATTTACTAAAGAGCCAGAACCACAAATTGGACCGGAACCTATCGAAGAAACCTCAGGTAATCTTTAGATTCTAATTATTTGATTCTTTTCATGAATTTTCAAATAAAATAATCATAATTATAAAAAATTACTCTCAATTAAAACAGTCACTGTCAGACCTCGGTTCGAACGTGGGGCTTTATTATAAGATGCAGAACTACTCTTCCAACGTTCAGAGGCTGGCGACCTTTCGCACAAGCCCGTCTACAACAAAACAATCTACGACCTGCCCCTGGCCATGAAGAATCAAAACCAACAGCCGATGTGTGACGAAGGGGCCGAGAACATCAAGAAGGATTTTTCCGCCTTCGTGGATGCTGTCGGGGATAATTGAAAGTTGTTTACTGGACAAGAACAAACAAGCGGAGAAAGATTATTAAATAAAACTGCCGATGTGCGCCATCTCTTGAATTCTTTAGCATTTACGACGACGGAACACACGGAGGAGGAACTGGAGGAGAGAAAACAAAAAATCGTCATGAAAGAGAACGCCACTGAAGATGACATTGCTGCCTTCAAGATACAAAAAGTAAAGTACGATACGATCGTAGATACGAAGTTAAAACGAGAAGCAGCTTATGCACTGGTTTGTGCGATCGAAACAAGGAAACCAAAGAGTGCTGGCTTAATGCACTGCTCATGAGTTTAATTATATTATTAACATTGTTATTGTTATTGTTATTATTATTATTTTTTCAATAAATACCTTGTTTTTTCAAACTTAAAGTAAGTAGGAAGATTTCATTATTTATTTACATAAGAAAGACTCTTATGATAAGAGTATCAACATCGGAAATTAGCACAAAACAGTTGCAAGAATAATGTATACAAAATAAAAATTTGCTTAACGTTAAAAAATATTTAAATAAACAGCGTATTAGATGTTTAGACAACTTCTACAGATAGCATCCACTGTTAAGTTCTTTCTGATTTTGTTCAACGTGCACAATAGTTCACACAAATTTCAAATTTCAACTGTTTATCAAAAAAAGATAAAAAAAAAAATTTCCTTCTTTTATAATCTACATGTAAACAACAAAATAAACGTTATGGTTATCACAGTGAATGTTTCTAAGTGAAGGTTCCTATGTTTGCTCACCAATCTTCCAGGACACAGGCCTCGGGTCCAACGTGTTTATTATCAGCCTTACTATCACTAAGCTTTGAATCATCGTTCACTTTATTTTGACTAACTGCAGCATATTTTTTCTCCCCATCACCATCTTCGCCAACTTCGTCGTCATCATCTTGATGTATCACGTGATAGCTGGCATTAGAGGATGAATGTTCGATGATGGAGTGGCAGGAGGGGGGAGCCTCTGCCAGCATGCCCACCTCAGACAGCCAGACCAGGATCAACTCGTCCCTGAAATGTTAGAACATTTAATTAACTGTTAGATGCATTCAACAAATGTCAAATGGTAATGGTGAAAACAAAAATTTAATTAAATAAAATTGTTAATGGGGTATTGAAGATTTTCTGATGAGGAGGTATTATCATCTATGAAATTATCCAAAAAAGCACAACAGTTGCATTTTGTTTGGAAGTTCCAAAGTTTTTGTATAATATAATACTAACTCTTTATTATGCTACTAATGTTCAGTTTTTACACAAAAAATAAAATAATTCACAGTTTCATGGCATTATTTGTCTATGGTATCGGTTGGTCGCTGGTTTAAAATAAAACCAATTCTAAAGATTTGGTGTTATTACATAAATGTATTAATAGTAAACTCCTTTAAAACATTCAGTGGAAACAAGCTGGAGAGGTGCATCGTAGCGAATAAAAAAACTTATCAGCGAGTGAAACTATTCCAGTCAGCCGGAGGTGGCAGGTTGGTGGAGCAAATTAGTGGAGGAGGTGAAGGTTGAGTACTTTGAGGAGATCACTTTCAGAAGCCAACAAAGAACAATTTCATGAGGAAAACATTATAAGGTAACGAATGAGCGCTGTTCAAACACTTGAGTTTTATGGGGGTGATATTGCACAGGTTATGATGATAAAAATAGCGCAAGGTTCATTACGTTATTGTTGTGTTGTGTTAAGTTGTGTTGTGCAGTTTTTTGACCGATTGTAAACTTTACAATGTGTACGTACAATGTTAGGAAAAAAGTGTGTACAATATTATTTGTACAGGATTGTGTTAAATAAGGTATGAGGCACATGTGTGTGTGTGCGTGTATGTGTGTGTGAGTGTGTGTGTGTGTGTGTGTGTGTGTGTGTGTGTGTGTGTGTGTGTGTGTGTGTGTGTGTGTAAATGTGTAAACAATTAAGGGGTTTGTATGTAATAAAGTAATCAACATGCATTTAAGTAATAGGCATTTGCACGCCATTGCAATCAACATTTGTACACAATCAGCATTTAACCACTCAACAATCAACATTTGTACATAATCGACATTTGTACACTCTTGCAATCAAAATTTGTACAAAATCAGCATTTACAATCTCGTGAAATCAACATTTGTACAATAAAGACCGACCTGTTTTCTTCGTGAGAATTGAGATCCAGATACTTGACTATCAGTTCTTCGCTCAATTTCTTTTCTGTCATCGTTTTGGTTCTGGCACCAAACCTCGTGTAATTATTATTGTTGTTGTTGTTGATATATACGTTATTGTTCCTATCGTTAAAGTTATTGTTATTTTTATTTTTAATGCTATCTCTGACGTCAAAGTTGAAACGACTTTGTTTTCCCAAAGAAGATTTTGAATAAAATTTGTTGACTGAATTGATTTGCTTAGTTTCTGGTCTACTTTGTGGAAAATAGTAATTTTTAGCTGGTGCGTGTTTTGGTTTGTATCCAGTGTTCTTAATGTCATTGTTGGTGACATTGTCGTCAACATGGTTGTCAGTTGTTTCAGTAAAATTTTGTTTCGGTTTGAAAAAATTGTTCTTAGTTTTGTTGAATGTTTGTTGTGAATGTGCAGACTGACGCAACTTTAACAAAGATACTTGCTGATAACTTCTTACTGATTCTTGATGATTCTTAAAATTTTTCAAAAAAATATTCGAATCTTTCATTTGGTTATTCAAGTTATGATCAGTTGTTTGCCTGTTGATGTCATTGTTGTTGATGTCACAGTTGAAGGTTGCCACATGTCCTTGCACGTCATCAACTGTTTCCTCCCTGATAATGTTATCGAGTGAATGTTCTTCAGAGATCTTTGTGACTGCAGAAATTTTCTCGGGGCGGCTGCTCACGATTCGCCGACCATCGTCGTACAGCAATGTACAACTTAAACCTCCATCTTTGATATTGTTGTGAATTTCAGCGTTTTTACCACAACTGGATCTAGATGAATTGCTTTCATTTTCAATGCGGTCGTCGAAACGGAAAGGGCAGTGGGTGGATAGCTTTGAAGTGCATCTAGTGGGCTGCACTTGTTCTGGACCGCTATACATTCCAGATAGCGCTGTGTGTTGTGATGTGTTCTTGCGCATATTCTGTCGGTAGCTGAAATATTTAGCACTGCTGTTTTTGTGGTTGCCTGTGTGGTTGGTGGTACAGTTACTATGGTTTCTATTCGCCGATTTCGAACGGTTATTATTGTTGTCCAATTTCGATTCTTCATCGGCATTGAAGCCTGTAAATAAATGTACGATGTCAAGTTTCAGATATATAAAAAATTTTCAACATAATATTTCCCGTGTTTATAATTTAAGAAATACGACAACATTTCATCACAAATCCAACTGCAACATTTCTCACAAATATTTGTGGATATCTGGAACCGATGGCGCTCAGATATTTTCTACAGTGACCAAGATATTTTGAAATGTTGACGATCTTGATTTTATTTCGAAACCAAATGGTTTCAGTAGCTTCATGTTAACAAACAATACATATTACAAATTTCTTTTTGCGTGAAAACTAAATTTATTAAAAAAAAATAAATTAATGCAAAACGCTGCTAATTTTCAAAATGTTTAAAATTCCCATTAACTCAGCTTCTCTTTATAAATCATTTAAGAAGACAGTCACCCTCCACGCATTCCTGCAACACGTGCCATCCTGTCTTTCAGTCTTTCACTTGGCATGTTTACTCGTCCTACCTCTGTCGCAACTTGCTCCCAGCTGCTTTTTTAACTACTTACAGCTGACAAATGCATCTCTTCTCACACACAAGCATTGCAAAGAAAGTGATGATAGTGAACAAATTTAATTATTCGTGTTAGGTGAAAATATTTGTTAATTTGAAAATCTTTTAGTTGTTGGAAAAATAATAATTTTTTACATTTTTTTCTAAGTAGCTTTGTACATATTAAAAAAAACATTCTTCAGTATGGAACAACATTTTGAATGATTTTAAGGCTATTTAAACTTTAGCTGGCTAAAATTTACATTAAATTAGAATTAAATTAAAACGAATTAAACAATATTTTTAAAATTAAAAATAATTTCAATCCTCCAAGATACCTGCTTTTTTCATTCCCAATCATTCAATATTTTTATTCTTTAAATAAAAAATTTAAATTTTTTGATGTGAACCACAAAACCTTCAATGATACTCGGCAACTTGATGGCGGTCACGTTGGAGAAACAGTCTGGCGAGGATGCGTGGGGAACGGCAGTTGGAGCTTTAGCGAAGGAACAAACGGATAATTGTCTTCTGAATGTCTTTGAAGAAAACGGATAAGGATGATTTTTTTTTGTTGAAGCATTCACTTGTGATGTCGTGAGATTGTTTAAACTGCACGAAAGAAATGACGACCTTGTAAGATTTCTTTGGTCTGATTTCAGTCTGAATTTTGAGGGCGTTGTTGGCGATGTTAATGACGGAAGACGCTGGTGATCGAGGAATGCCACAGACCGTGCCGACCTAACAGTTGTTGAAGCGCCTTCTGTAAAATGGAAAAAGTTTTTGTCTTGTAAGCGACTTGGCTTTTTATCTACGTTTGATTTCTCGTGAATGTATGGTATGTGATCTGTTCGGTCAGCTGCTTCAAAGCAAAACTTGTTTCCAATGGTGTCAGTGGTAGTACAAACAGTCGTAGTGGAAGGAGTCGACGTGTCGGTCGACCTGTTCATTAAAGATGCTACGTTGACTGTTTGTTTATTGTCGTAGATAAGGTTAACTGAATCAGAAAATGTTTTGTTCTTTTTAACTGTTTTCCATTGCGTGGAAAGTGATGATAGGGATGTCGATAGCGAGGAAGACAACTTATTTCTCTTCACGTTCAATTTGAGGTTGTTGTTCGCCAAACGAGGAAAGAGTGAAGCGGTCGTATTTGTGAGATTGCTGTAATGTGGAACGTGGTTGTTCGGTCTTTGAACTACAACATTTTTGTTTTTGCTACCTTCAAAATTGTTGTAATCGTTGCAAATTATGTGGCCAAAAGTTTTGTAATTCATAATTGTATGGTGGTGTTTTGATTCTTTCCTCTGTGCCGCTGGTGGCAACGCAGGTGATGAGGAAGGCGATGATGAAGTTTTTGTAGGCTGCTGCTGCTGAATGTTGCTGTCGCCGTCGAGTGGTCTTAATTCATCGCTATTCGATACTTGGTCTGATTGTAAATGTGGAACGACATTTGAAATGCGGTTTGTTGATTTTGTTGTTGCAGAAGTTGTTATTGTTGACGTTGTTTTTGAAAGTGTTGTTGCTGATGTCAAAATTAAAACATTAGTTGGTTTTTGGCAAACTTGTTTATTATCCTGTTTCAAAACACAAATTTTCTATTTAAAATTGTATTTCTAAAAATAGCACAAAAATTACAGAAACGTATTTATGTTAACGATAAGTTCACTTATGAAAATTATTCTTATAAAAAACAAATCAGGAATTGTTTGAATTCTTTCTTCATCCTTTGTTAAACATTCCTTACGTGTGTAGCAAATAATTTCGAAGCATTTAGTGCTTGCATATTAACTATATTTTTGCCATGAGATAAAATGTAATGAATATTGATAAGAAGGCAGCCAGTTGTGTTGCCGTTTTGTGCAGTGAACAACATTTTTCTGTTTGCATTTACGTCAATTGTGCTTTTTCAACGCTATTTTAATCCAAGTTTAAATAAGCTATTAGGTGCAGCTTTGCTTTTATTTTTCATACAGCCTGGCCGTTATAAATAAATATTCTTGCATGTATAAATATAACTTAATCATACTAAAAGTTAATAATTTTTAGATTTATTTTTAAAGCCCAAAATTTTGTTAGAAAAATATAGGCGATTATTTTTTTAAAAACCTGTAAAAGTTCATTGATCGGTTTAGCCAGAAACGTGTCACGGTCACAATCAAAATAATCCTTTGTTGAATTGTTGTCGTTGTTTTCATAGTAGATGTGGTTGTTATTTTTATCAATGTTGCTTTTTGCACTCTTTTTGACAGCATTTATAACATATTCGTTGTTGTCAAAGTCATCTTCTCCACGAGTATGGCACATATTTTGAGAAGCATGACCAGCATGGTCTGGCTTAGGCAAGTTAGTCTCCTCCTGAAAAACATATATCGATTTGTTATCTTGGTTGATCCCTTTGAACTTCGCAGTTGAATCCATCGTACGTTTCTTATTCAGGGACTTTTCAAATATCGATCTTGTGTATGATTCTCTCATCCTCGAAACTTCAGTGGCCTTCATATAGTTTGGAACGGAATAAGTCGATGTTGAGGTTACTGTTGTCGTTACTGATGTTGCTGCGGTTGTTGCTGATTCTGATATGGCTGTTGTAGTCGCAGGTTGCTGGTTGTTTTTTGTTGTTATGGAGGGCAGCAATGTTTTCATATGTGTCGATTTTAAAAAAATGTCTATCGATGTATAAACAGCGTCAATCGATGATGTGGAAACTAGTGCGTTTGTTGCTAATTTAACATCCACGGCTGAGGACGAAGGGAAAACATTTGATGTTGACGTTGTTGTCCTGAAAACTTCTGATGCTGTTGTTGACAATGATGTAAATTTTGTTAAAGTTTCTTCTGGTTTTTTAAGATTTATAATTGTCAGATTAGTTAATGTTGGCGTCGATGAAGTCTTAGCAGATGAAGAGTTTGGAGCTGTGAGGTCACGTGTTGCTGGTAATGTAAATAGTGCGGATGTAGTGGTGGTAGTAGCAGATGAGGTTGCTAGGGAGCGTGTTCTTGCTAAGTAATTCGTTTTTGTTCTGCTTGTCGATTTCAAAACAGGTCTACTTCTCTCAGATAAATGCATTCTAACGTGAATTCCAACCTTAATTGAAGATTATCAGCAGCCAGAGATATGACAACATTAACTGTCGTCAAGTGTAAATTAATCACGTAAGATAATAATCAAGTGCAGCACGGACCTACAACAGAGAAGTCTTCATCATAATCTCAAAAACTAACCAGTCTGCTGATATCAACTAAAAAAATTCCGTCATACCATATAACTCTCAGTAAAAACGCACGCCCTTTCATGCATCATCACCATACATATACACATTAATACATAATATATGCATATCTGAATATATATATATATTATATATAATTATATATCTGTAATTTTATTTAGTGGTGCAAATGTCTCCCTAAATTTATTAATGTCCTCCCTAAATTAATTAATTACGTGTTTCTATAAATCATGTCATTTTTTTTTAAATTTTTCAACTTCAAAACGTCAAGATTTAATTTTTAACACATGATTTATTGAAAAGTTCTCATCATGAAATAAAATTACTACGTAGGAAACTCCCCAGATATTCACTCCGACACAACCCAAACTAAAAAAATACCTTTTGAAGAATGCAGGCATGATGTATAATTTAAGTTTTAATAATGTTATATATATATATATATATATATATATGTTAGTAAATATATATATATACATATATATACATACATGGGCGTAGCCAGGGGGGGGG